TCCATCCCTCCACCAATCATCCACCATCCATCCATATATCTATCTATTCATCTATCTTTGTCCTTCCATCTTTCTTTGTTTATCTGTCAGTCTATATTTCTTAGATCATCCATCCATCCATCCAACTATCCCTCCAACTATCCATCCAACTATCCATCCATTGGTCATTCAGTCATATCTTTCTGTCTACATTTAACATCACCCGCCCTTCTGCCATCCATCAATCCATCCATCATTCATCTTTACATCCATCAATCTATCCATCTCATTCATCTATCCATCTTTCCCTTTATCCATCTATCTATCTATCTATCTATCTATCTATCTAAACACGTTTCCATCTTTCCGGTTGTTTATCCATCTGTCTTTATTTCTAGCATCATCCATCCTTCTGCCCATCTGTCCATCTTCCACCCACCCATCCATCCATCCATCCATCTATTTGCCATCTAAATTGATATCAGCCACTGATTTTCCCACATTTCCGGGTCAGTTATATAAGTGTGAAGTGTTTTTATGTGAGCGCTGCTGTGAGCGTCAGTGAGGAGCGCAGTAACCGAGCGCTGATCGTGTCCCTCCACAGTCGCAGCAGCGTGGTGACAGGAGGCTGTGTTTTTTTTAACCTGATCCCCGCTGTGAACGAGAAGCGACCCGAGCCAAAAACAACAGTTTAGCCCAGCTCGCTGTTGCCTGGCACTAAACTCGGCCTCGTCGTCCGGCAGAAAATCTCCCTCCATCAGAACCGGCACTCGGAGAGCGGCGCTCTGTCGCCTTTCCCTCGCTGTAAAGATAAGCTTATCTGCTCAGAGCTGTAATTACAGCATTAGCTCAGATTAAACCAGCCTTAATAACCATACAGCCTTACGGACCCAGAACACACACACACACACACACACGCACACACACACACACACACACACACACACAGCACCAATACACACACACACACACACACACACACCAATAAACACACACACACACACACACACACACACACAGCACCAATACACACACACACACATACACACACACACACCAATACACACACACACACACACACATACACACACCAATAAACACACACACACACACACACACACACACACCGATAAAGACACATACACAGCACCGACAAACACACAGTTGCTAGACAAACAGCGCAGGTACAGGTGGGCGGGGCTGATCTGTACCTACCTGAGATTTACAAATGACCCTTTTACTGTCCACTTCAGTACATTAGTGAGGAAAGTTCCTCAGTCATTAAGTATTAGCTCCTGATTCTCCTAATGAGTTTAATTTGGTTCTGCTGTGATTGTTGATCACTCCCCTCACTCCTCTCACTCCTCTCAATCCCCTCACTCCTCTCACTCCCCTCACTCCTCTCACTCCTCTCAATCCCCTCACTCCTCTCAATCCCCTCACTCCTCTCACTCCTCGCACTCCCCTCACTCCTCGCACTCCCCTCACTCCCCTCACTCCTCGCACTCCTCTCAATCCCCTCACTCCTCTCACTCCTCGCACTCCCCTCACTTTAATGTCTTATTTTAGACCAAAAAGAGAAGAACAGAGTCTAAAAACTTGATTTCTGATACAGATTCTCATTCGCCAGATTCTGTTCCACCTTAAATGGCAAAATATTTCTATACAGCACCACAAAAGGTTCTGTAGTTACAAGTTTGACAGTGTGATGAGCAGAACGCTTTTTGGTGCTATATAGAACCAACACACTCTTCATCAGTCAGAAGAACCATTTCACCATGCAGAGAACCTTTTAAGCATGACAATGGTTCTTTGAGTGTTCATGGTTTTGTATAGAACCATTGTCTTTACAAAAGAACCCTTGAAGAACCATCTTTTTTAAGGGTGATACTAGCACCTCATTTAAATATAATTTACATAAAGCACGCCCTAATTCATGCAGATGTTTAGGCAGGGAGCCAATAAAATGACTGTATTTAGTAGGCAATAGCTGTGCTCATAGTTAGAGGTCAGTAAGCGCACAGCTCCCCCTACTGAACAAACTTTTCAAAGTTAAAATTACGACCACTGAAATAATAAAATGTGAAATAAACAAAACGTCTTAGTGTTTTTAAGACGGTAGAATGACGCGATTGTGATTATTTTCCTACAATTACAGATTTAAATGCTGCTTTACTGCAGTTTGTGACACTAGCTGTGTTTATTTGTGGGCGGAGTCAGTAGTGTAAACAAACGCACAGTGTAACGTGTCTTTAAATGGACGGAACAGCTGCAGCGTTTGTTTATATCAGTGTGTGTAAAATAAGCACATCCACTTCTGCACTGCACATCGTTAGCATTATCGATGTGATCTATGATTATTCTTATTACTGGTTTCCTGTATTATATTAATAATAGTTTTGGTTAGTTAACCACAAATCAGGCATTTTGTTAGCGTTGTGAAATGTTTACACCCAAAATTACGCCAGAAGAGAGTTTGATCATACAGATACGCCACCAATAAAACTGATCAATATAGAACCGTGAGTGAAATTTGTGCTTATTTTATGATCATATTTGACCGTATGCAGCTTTGAGGAATAAGAGGAAATATCACAAAAACTCTTTTAGACTTCAGCAAATGACCTAAGTGTGAAAACAGCCTCAGTGCAGTAATAATGCAGCGAGCGGAGAAACTTTAATTCTCTATTATTTTTAGCCCGTTTTACCCTGAGATGTACTACAGCCCCCAGCATGCACTGAAACATAGTGTGTGTTCCGACCCCCAACAACAATCTATGAGCAGGTACACAAACAGAAAAGACGCCTGGGCAGTTTTAAAAACAAAACTAAAACAATTTATTTTAATTTAGAATTATTGTTGATTAAGTATTCAGTGCCTGTTTTGCTGTTGCAGTTTTGGCATGTTGTAAACACACAGCGGCCGGTTCAGGTTTTGGCAAAATGTCCAGTAACAATAAATAAAAACAGCGACTGGCTGAGATTTTTTAACACGGCCCTTTTAGTGGTTGAGTCTTATGTGTCACTTACGTTTAGCAAGTATTTTATCTCAAGTTTCCCGAGACGACCTCAGACGCTGGGCTCAGAGGAAAAAGGCCTCAGTTTTTATTACAGGCAGAGCTCATTCAGCCTGGGCAGCAGGTTCTGGACCCAAACGCCAATACAGTGTACAGAGTTCCATGTTTTGAACACCTTTCAGAGGTGAGGTCATCCCCCCTCTTTCTCCCGATGTGTCATTATTATATGTACTTAAATTCGACCCGTTAACTAAAAAGGTCTGGTTGTCTTTTTCATATCTACTCATTAAAGAGGGCAGCTGCGTCTTTGGCACCCAGAACCTCCTTCTGCGCTTATCAAACACCTGTGTATACGTTGGCCTCCATGAGGCTGAAGGTCAAAGGGTTCCCCTGAAGCTTGTATGTATATGTATGTCTACTTTCCAGTGTCCTGTGTATGTTCCTTTTATTAATGATGTCCTCTTTAATCATCGTGTTTAATGTCATGGTAGAAACGTTCATTGTATTCTGTCACTGTGAGTCTATCTGTTTAGATCGCTGGTATGAAGTTAAGCCACATCATCCACCATAATGAGACGCTCAGTGACACTATTTTTAATAATCGGCTCCAGCAGCACTTTTTAAACGCCTTACAAACCGGAAATATCAAATCTGTCTGAAATGTCCATCGGTACCTGAGCACCTGCGGGAAAGGCAGCGTATGGACTCATGCTGTAAGGCTGGTCTGAGTCAGTCAGACGGACTGACGGCAGCAGAAAGGCCTGCTGGAGAACGGCTTTAATTAATGAAGTTCTTTCACTGCCTGCGACAAAAACGCCTTCTGATACGTCTTTTGTTCACACGGGCGAGTTTGGAACAAAGGCGCGCGGATAAGAGCGGATTTGATATGCAGACGAGCGTTTGAAAAGAGAAAGAGGAGAACGGCACAAAGAGAAACGAAAAGGCTTCAAAGATTTGGATGAAACTGACACAATTTTGTTTTGTTTGGGGTCCTGAAGCTGAAAACGTGGTGCATGTTAGCGTCAGACGGACATACTGAGGACATTAACACGCTGGAGATGACCATCAGTCTGAGAGTCAGGACTACAGATGAGTCTGAATCTCTGAACAGCCATATGTTACCATATGGTCTCATATTTAAAGGGGAACTCCACCAATTTTTCAAAAATTCTATATAATTAACTGGTTAAGATGTAAACAGAGTGGTTCAGAGAGGTTCTGTGTTCTAGATAAACTTACTGAGTCAGAACTGCTCACAGTGGTGGTGATAGGAACCAGACGTCCACCTCTAAAAGCTCCCTCACAGAAAGTTCCTACATGAAATGGTTATGAATTCACTGCCTGATGACTGAGACACTGTTTTATGATAGTTTGGAGAACTTAAACTCCATTCATGGTGGAGGGATACATGCAGGGCGCTGTGAGGCAAAATAGTCCCCAAAGAAAACTTATTATTTCAGATTTTCCACTATTTTTCATCATCAACATTCCATATAAACTCAGAAGACTCGTGTAGGTTCACTGGTGGTTCTGGATAGTAAATAAAATGTCTATATCTGTGTTGTAGTCATGGCGACCCCTGGTTCCCATCACCACCACTGTAAAGACATCTGAACCATTTCACACCAAACCTCTCTGAACCTCTCTGATTACAGCTCACACACTGAATTATTTAGAGATTTTGAAAAATTGGTGGAATTTCCTTTTAGGATCCATAGCTGTTTGAACTCTGTTCTCCACCAGAGGGCAGTGTGGAGCCAGAGTGCAGCTGTACCATAGGAAGAGGGCCAAATATAACACATTCTCCATCAATTTGAAGAACGATTTCACCATGCAAAGAACCAGTGGAGCATGCAAATGGTTCTTTGAGCATTCATGGTTCTACACAGAACCACTGTCTTTACTGAAGAACCCCTGAAGAACCATCTTTTTAAGAGTGTAGCCAATAAAGCTCATTTTAATATTCAGATCATCAGAAAACAGAGTAACAACGACGTCACTCACCTCCACGATGGTCACCTTGGCTGCTTTACACATCGGCTGGTTAAAGTTTCGGGCTGTTTTCCTGTTTTTAATGAAGAAACACAGAATCAGTAAACGCTAAAACAACCTTCAGTCCAATCAGTGTGATCAATAGTGAGGGTGATCAATAGTGAGGGTGATCAATAGTGCACTTCGCATCTGCATTTCTGATCACAAAATGAATCATTAGATACTATTAGAGGCTTTTTAATTAGAAAAACTCGATTAAGTACATAACTGTGCTGTGTTCTGCATCTCAGCTGAAAGTCTACCAGACCACATTCAGTGTTTAATTAAATGGAAACACTGCCCCCTGCTGGACACAAGAAATAATGACAGTTGGTTCACTATCCACTGTAAAAAAGTGTCACTATTAACACTGGTAATAAATAACATTTAAGGCTGTTCACTAATCGGGTTTATAATGTAAACAAAGTGAACAGTGTGTTAAAGGTGCTGTGTGGAATCCAGTGTATCTGCTAACAGCACTGATGAGCTGAGCTGTTCTTCCTTAAAGAGCCCACATCTCACAGTTTCCCCTCCAGTCAAACCCCACGTTGGTTATTTTCAAAGTGAATACAGAAAAAAATAAATCCTCTACAGAGAATCCGGTTAAATACGGCATCTGTCTGCACAATTTAATGCACAATTCCTACTTATTTATTTAACAGATTGGAAAACATAGAACATAAAACATTAAATTTGAATTATGATCCATCCCAGTATGTTAAATTTAGTAAATGAACACTAAGATTTAAACTCAAAAAATCAACAAAACATGAAATTCGAAATTTGGCGCACAAACTTTTGCACACAACTATCCCTCAGCCTCTTTTTATCTCTCACAGTTAAACAGGCTGCTTCTGTTACTGTACCTTTAAGACTGACATATGTAAATGAGCTCTGTTCTGATTGGCTGCCCTGTATTGTAACCTGTTCACAAAGCAGTCTGAGTTGAAACACTCCTTACAACTACAGAGCTGTAGCTGAATGGGTGGGGCTAAACTGCTGTAGCTGAATGGGTGGAGCTAAACTGCTGTAGCTGAATGGGTGGAGCTAAACTGCTGTAGGCTGAATGGGTGGATATAAGTAGTTGCATTGTGTTTTGTGACATCACAAAAACAATAATTTTAAATGATTTTGCTGTTAAGTTTATGTATGAAATACACTGAGAAGAACATTTTGAAACTTTTTAAACAATATTTACACACAATATTAAACTCATATATTAAAAAGGAGGACAGTCCAGTTTTCTATGATATGAGCTCTTTAAACCTTTAAAAACACTGCAGTTTTGCAAAACTATTGCCTTAAATGTCCTAACCAGGCCAAAGGCTTCATTTCCTCAGTGTGTTCTGTATACGGCAGTGATTCTTCATCCTCCTCTTCCTCCAGCAGCAGGTCGTGTTTTATAAGAGTTAATGTTCTGTCTGTGGGCTGAGCTGTTTATGGAAGTGTGTAATAGGTGTATAATTATACACCGCTCTCGGCACAACCACAGCCCGGAGATTGAATTCCCAAAACTGGAGCAGCTCCGACACAGACAGTGTTTATGTTTCTGTCCTTCAGCTGTTTCTTAACACAGGCTGTGTTCAGCAGTGTGAGGTAACAGCAGCTTTATACTGATTATTACTGAAATATCGAGACAGTTCGCCTCACTCTGCAAAAAATCATAACTCGACAAGTGAAATCATCTTAAATATAGTTTAAATATCTGGTGTTCCTCATTTTGAGATGCTGTAAGAATATTATAAGATTATTTTACCTATTTATAGGCAAGTTCACTTGTTTTAGGCAAGTTCATATAGAGGTAAATTAGATTTTCTAGAAACAGCAATACTATCTGTCAATGGAATAAAACATTTAGCCTACAAAAAAATACTTAAAACAGGTTAAATATCTAGAAATAGGTTCTTTAAGTTGTCTTTGTCTACACTTCTTTTGTACCACAATGCCATAGTAACACCTTAGCAACCACTTGGGATACCACAGCAATGCCCTACCAACACCTTAACAATCACCATAGACATCCTAGCATGGGCCTAGCAACACCTTCGCAACCATCTTGGATAACATAGCAACATCCTACCAACACCGTTGCAACCACCTGGAATACCATAGAACTGCCATAGCAACACTGTAACATCCACCTTGCATTTACTATCAAAGGCTTAGCAACACCTAAGCAACCACCTTAGATATCCTAGTAAATGCTTAGCAACACCTTAGCAACCATCTTGGATATCCTAGCAATGGCCTAGCAACACCATAGCAACCACCTTAGATATGCTAGCAATGGCCTAGCAACACCATAGCAACCACCTTAGATATGCTAGCAATGGCCTAGCAAGACGCTGGCAACCACCTTAGATATGCTAGCAATGGCCTAGCAACACCTTGGCAAACACCGTAGATATCCTAGAAAATGCATAGTAACACCTTAGCAACCACCTTATTTATCTTAGCAATGCCCTAGCAACGCCTTAGCAACCACCTTAGATATCCTAGCAATTGCCTAGCAACGCCTTACCAACCACCTTAGATATCCTAGCAATTGCCTAGCAACGCCTTACCAACCACCTTAGATATCCTAGCAATGGGCCAGCAACACCTTGGACCACATACCAATAGCCTAGCAACCACTTTAGATCACCAAGCAATAGCCTAGCAACACCCTGGCAACCACCTTAGATATCCTAGCAATGGCCTAGCAACACCCTGGCAACCACCTTAGATATCCTAGCAATAGCCTAGCAACACCCTGGCAACCACCTTAGATATCCTAGCAATGGCCTAGCAACACCCTGGCAACCACCTTAGATATCCTAGCAATGGCCTAGCAACACCTTGGCAACCACCTTGGATAACATACCCATAGCCTAGCCACGCCTTAGCAACTACCTGACCACAAAACCAATACACAAATAAAGAGAATAGGAATCAAATACAGCCTTTAATCATATAGCATTAGACTATATTTTGTCAACAAAATGGTTCAAAATAGTTCCAATACAATCTGAACAGGAAAGTAAGGATTTAATGAGTTTACACACACTTATATATAAGGGGGTGTGTCATGAATTAAACTAACTCATCTGACGACTGTTGGCAGCCCTGGTTCAGATATTTTGCCTAGAATTATGATGATCTCACTTACCAAGATATCATTAATTGCAACCTCCAGTTACATTTGTGCATTCAGTGTATTTCTAACATTTCTGAACCAAACCAAAACAATTTAATCAAATCGTGCTGGAATGTGAATTTCCTGATTCACTGAATCGTTTCCTGATGAATCACATCGCTGTAGAGAGATTAACACCCTCAGTAATCATTTACAGCTGGAGAGAGTCTGACCATCTCTGTACTGGGTGGGAGATCACATGGTGTGTGATGTCATGCAGGTGTGTTGTGTACCTGAAGATGATGTTTCCTGCTTTGTCTGCCTTCCAGGCTTTAACCAGAGCGAAGTCTCCTGTGATGGCTTTCTCCATAACGAAGTGTCTGCCTCCAAACTGCCTCACCTGAGTGTAATTAACACTGATTAGTGAAGGTGAGGACTGTAACGAGCGCTTAATTACAGAGAAGAGCTGATGCAGCATTAACTTAAACACAAACACAACTGGCTCTATATGTTCATATGACCCACACAATCACTCTGACAGACTGTAATACACTACAGGAAGTGTAGGGGGCGATATGGTTTCTACTGTTTCATTTAAAAAGCTCTATAATGTTCATATGATCCACACAGTCACTCTGACAGACTGTAATACACTACAGGAAGTGTAGGGGGCGATATGGCTTCTACTGTTTCATTTAAAAAGCTCTATAATGTTCATAAGATCCACACAGTCACTCTGACAGACTGTAATACACTACAGGAAGTGTAGGGGGCGATATGGCTTCTACTGTTTCATTTAAAAAGCTCTATAATGTTCATAAGATCCACACAGTCACTCTGACAGACTGTAATACACTACAGGAAGTGTAGGGGGCGATATGGCTTCTACTGTTTCATTAAAAAGGCTCTATAATGTTCATATGATCCACACAGTCACTCTGACAGATAGTTAGGAATCGTAAAAGGAAGTACCGTCAGATAAACTGATTAAATAGTTATAGATTAATCAATTACAGAAATAATTAGTTCAGCCTGACCAACAGCTAAATGTCTTAGAGTTAATCTGTGACGCTGACCTCTCTGGGTTCGCTGGCGATGGCCACGGTGCCGTCTTTATTGTATTTAATGGGTGATCCTCCCTCCTGGATCAGCGTGCCGTACCCTGTGGCTGTGAAGAACGCCGGAACTCCAGCCCCTCCGGCCCGGATCCGCTCAGCCAGCGTTCCCTACAAACACATCCCAACCAATAAACTTCAATTAAACAGATGAAGACTGTGGTTGCAGAACTGGCTCAGAGTTATTCCTCAGTGACACTGTGTGCTCGTTTAGTCATAGCAATATAAAATACTTCCTCTTTGTAAACAACAGGACGAAACTGCTATGAGACATAAGAACCGATGAACAGTCTTATTAAGCAACACACGACTTTTTAGAAGCCAAGCGTTACTTGCTATCCCTGGAATAATGTGGAATTAAATTTAATAACATTCTTACCTTGAAATAACATTATAGTAATATGCATTCCCTAGAATAACACTATAATAACATGCATTCCTGTAATAACATTATAATAGCGTGCATTCCTGTAATAACATTATAATAACGTGCATTCCTGTAATAACATTATAATAACATGCATTCCCTGAAATAACATTACAATAACATGCACTCCCTGAAATAACATTGTAATAACATACATTCCCTAGAATAACGTTACAATAACATGCATTCCCTCTAATAACATTATAATAACATGCATTCCTGGAATAACATTATTATAACATGATGTCCTGGGAATAACGCTATAATAACATACATTCCCTGAAATAACATTGTAATAACATATATTCCCTAGAATAATGTTATAATAACATGCATTCTCTGGATAAACGTTAAAATAAGATGTTTTCTCTGAATTGAAGTTCATAACACTGGGCCTCGTTCTCCAACCGTTCCTCTTAAACCCTCTTACGCAGTTCTGACGAAGACTCTGACTCTCCAGTGCTCTCTTATGTGGGATTCGTTCTTAGGTAAGAATAGAATCTACACTCAAGAGCACAAAGGAGAGAACAGTTCTGCGCTTTAAGAACACGTCATGAATCTGACGGAGACTTTTTCTTAGGATCTTGCTCAAGAACACACTTAAGAACACACTTAAGCACACTTTGTCCCTGCAACAGTGTTTTAATAACATCCTTCACTGTAAAACACTGAACAACGCTACAGTAACGTCCCTCGTCCCTCGTCTGTGTAACAGCAGGACGTTGGCGTGTATGTAAATGCTGCTTATCAGAGTGATAACACTGTGAGGTCACCTGAGGCCACACAGGTGATCCCGGGCACACTGAGGTGTGGGTAAAGGCCTCACCTGTGGCGTTAGCTCCACCTCCAGTTCTCCGGCCAGGTACTGCCTCTCAAACTCCACATTCTCTCCCACGTAGGACGAGATCATGCGCTTTATCTGCTTCGTCTTCAGCAGCAGACCCAGCCCGAAATCGTCCACCCTGAACAGCAGCGGAACATCAGCCACCAGCTACACACATCACACCGCACAGCCACAGAAGACCCTCCCCACCAATCAGCTCACGGGTTTAAGGGACTCAGATATCTGAGCCAACAACTCCTGCTTTCTGAAATTCCCCCAAAAGAGGTTCAGGTTCCACCTTAAATGAAGAATAGAACTGCTGTACTATTTAAGGTGGAACGGACAGTTTCAGTAAGAATCTGGTAAACAAGCCAACTGTGCTAACACGTCTGAGACTAGTGTGTGATGATTTGGACAGACAGACAGACAGAGAGACAGATAGACAGAGAGACAGAGACAGACACACAGATAGACAAACAGACAGACAGACAGAGAGACAGAGAGACAGAGACAGACAGACAGATAGACAGACAGACAGACAGATAGACAGACAGACAGAGAGACAGACAGACAGACAGACAAATAGACAGATAGACAGACAGATAGACAGACAGACAGATAGAGAGGTAGACAGACAGACAGATAGACAGACAGATAGACAGACAGACAGACAGACAGATAGACAGACACACTGACAGACAGATAGAGAGATAGACAGACAGATAGATAGACAGACAGACAGAACTTTACTGATCCTGAACAGTAGTAAGACATATAGTTGCACATAAACTAAGCAGAAAATAAAAAATAGAAATAAAAACAGATGTAAGTTAAAGTATAAGAGAGTAGAAATAAAAGTATATCTATTTGCATATTTACATGGCATATAAAACAGACATACAGATACACAGACATTGCACATAAACTCACACACATTAGGCAGAAACAAAACAGGAATAAAAACAGACATAAATGAGCCATAAACAGGAAAACAGACATAAATCAAACTATGAGAGAGAAGGAATAAACGTATGTCTATAGCATCTTTACAGAGGAGATTAGACAGATCGGTTGTATTAAATGAGAGCAGTGCTGCACTCAGTGGTATGAGGAAGTTACAACACCATGAACAGAATTATAACTGAGTACCAGCAGTGTTTACAGTCTAAAGTGCACAGTGAAACTCACAACAGCAGGTATTAGGTTAGCATTGTGCTAACATTAGCCCCAGTGATTAAACTAAAGAAGCAAACCTCAGACCCCGAACACGTCTCGGCGGACTGACTGTTCAGAGTAAAGGAGGATTTTATTTAAAGTATTGCTTTGATGCTGCACTTTGAGTTTTAACTGGTCAAGCTGAGGTCCAGTCTGCCTCGTTATTGGCCATTAAAGTGGAATTTCACAGATTTCTGCACAATTAAATGGGTTAAATTCTCAGAAATAAAAAACAGCCTCTTCTTCTTCACTGAGGTCTTAGTGAATCTGTAACGTGGGTTAAATCACAACAGTGAATGAGTCAGTTTCACTCATCCTTTAACCCTGCGCACAAACATTCAACAGACAAATGCAAATGAGCTCTGAAACAAAAACAAGAAGGAATGAAACAGTAACGTATGCAAACATCTGTGCACCAAAGGACAAAGGTCTGGAAGCAACACTGACTTGGCACACATAAAGATGAAATGTATTCTTTATATTCAACAGTAATTTGCTATTAAATAGAACAAAAGGAGATAAGCTGAATTTCGGGTTTGGACACAAGAGGGCGCTCCTGAGGGAGTCGAAAATAAATAGGAACATAAAACATTAATTCGAAAAAGATTCATCCTTTTTATACCTACAAATGCGCTTATTTTCTCAACCAATCAGCGCTCAGTAGCAGTAAGGCCAACCAATCTGCTGCTACTTAAAGCTAGTGTCATTAAAAGGGGAACTCCAATGAATTTTCAAAATTCCTGTATAACTAAATGGATGTAAACAAAGTTGTTCAGAGTGTGTTTGGCGTGAAATGCTGCGCTCTACACTCTTAAAAAAGACAGTTCTTCAAAAGTCCTTTAGCAAAAACAAAGGTTCTATACAGAACCATGAACACTCACAGAACAATTTGCCTGCTTAAATGGTTCTCCTCACGGTGAGGTGGTTCTTCAGATTAATGGAAATGTATATATACTGTATATAGTTCTATATAGCACCAATAAGGGTTCTGCTGTAGTCAAACTTGTAACAATAGAAGAACCCTTTTGTGCTACATACAACCACTTTCCAAAAGGTTCCATATAGAAACATATAAAACACATCAGTCCAAAGGATCATTTCACCATGCAGAGAACCATAGAAGTCATGGCTCTAATCAGAATGATTGTCTTTACTAAAGAACCCCTCAAGAACCGTCTTTTATAAGGGTGCAGAGAAACTTACAGGGTCAGAATTGTTCACAGTGGTGATGTCATTTTAATCTGAATGATGTTTTTAACTCTCTGCTGAAATTTTGAAAAATTGGTGGAATTCTCCTTTAGGTCCAACTGTGGCTAACTGTCACTGAGAATCATTGGTGGAGGCTGAGATGAAGACGCGTTAGAGCAGCTTGATTATCCTTAATGAGCGCGTAGCGTGAGCCAGCACGCCGCTAATTACAGCCTGTCTCAGTACAGTGGATACACGGGGTGATTAGCACCCTGAGTCGGAATAACGAACGAACCTGGTAAAGGAATTCCCAGTGGGAAAACAGCAGGATTTTATGACAAGTGTTCATAATTATAATCAACAACTACATTCCTTTCTAATGAAGCGGACGAGTGTTTCTAATAAAGGGGCCAGTGAGTGGAAGTAGGTGGAGGTGTTTCTAATAGAGTGGCCAGTGAGTGGAAGTAGGTGGAGGTGTTTCTAATAAAGTGGCCAGTGAGTGGAAGTAGGTGGAGGTGTTTCTAATAAAGTGGCCCTGAGTGAAAGTAGGTGGAGGTGTTTCTAATAAAGTGGCCCTGAGTGAAAGTAGGTGGGGGTGTTTCTAATAAAGTGGCCCTGAGTGTAAGTAGGTGGGGGTGTTTCTAATAAAGTGGCCCTGAGTGAAAGTAGGTGGGGGTGTTTCTAATAAAGTGGCCCTGAGTGAAAGTAAGTGGGGGTGTTTCTAATAAAGTGGCCCTGAGTGTAAGTAGGTGGGGGTGTTTCTAATAAAGTGGCCCTGAGTGAAAGTAGGTGGGGGTGTTTCTAATAAAGTGGCCCTGAGTGAAAGTAGGTGGGGGTGTTTCTAATAAAGTGGCCCTGAGTGAAAGTAAGTGGGGGTGTTTCTAATAAAGTGGCCCTGAGTGAAAGTAGGTGGGGGTGTTTCTAATAAAGTGGCCCTGAGTGTAAGTAGGTGGGGGGTGTTTCTAATAAAGTGGCCCTGAGTGAAAGTAGGTGGGGGTGTTTCTAATAAAGTGGCCCTGAGTGTAAGTAGGTGGGGGTGTTTCTAATAAAGTGGCCCTGAGTGAAAGTAGGTGGGGGTGTTTCTAATAAAGTGGCCCTGAGTGAAAGTAGGTGGGGGTGTTTCTAATAAAGTGGCCCTGAGTGAAAGTAAGTGGGGGTGTTTCTAATAAAGTGGCCCTGAGTGAAAGTACTCCCTGGTTATGTATATTAATTGTTATGTAATTATGTGTAGGGGCTGCAGTGCAGGTGTGGAGGTGAGCTGAGTGATAACCTGCTGAGTTTATAGCTGTACTGGCTGATTAAAGTCTTCAGTCTGAGCCTTTATGAGTGTTTAATATGTCAGTAAGTCAGTCTGAGAGTTAAAGAGTGACTGAATGAGTCTCACTTCACTGCCCTGTGGAGCTACTGGAGCTCAGTGCACAGTAACAGGACGAGTTAAAGGGAGTTTAAACCAGCTTTAATACAGTGGAGCTCTAACAGTACACTGAGCGCCGATCGGTCAGCGTTACTGCTACTGAGGGCCGATCGGTCAGCGTTACTGCTACTGAGGGCCGATCGGTCAGCGTTACTGCTACTGAGCGCCGATCGGTCAGCGTTACTGCTACTGAGGGCCGATCGGTCAGCGTTACTGCTACTGAGCGCCGATCGGTCAGCGTTACTGCTACTGAGGGCCGATCGGTCGGCGTTACTGCTACTGAGCGCCGATCGGTCGGCGTCACTGCTACTGAGGGCCGATCGGTCGGCGTCACTGCTACTGAGCGCCGATCGGTCGGCGTCACTGCTACTGAGAGCCGATCGGTCGGCGTCACTGCTACTGACCGCCGATCGGTCGGCGTCACAGCTACTGAGGGCCGATCGGTCGGCGTCACAGCTACTGAGGGCCGATCGGTCGGCGTTACAGCTACTGAGGGCCGATCGGTCAGCGTTACTGCTACTGAGCGCCGATCGGTCGGCGTTACTGCTACTGAGGGCCGATCGGTCGGCGTCACTGCTACTGAGAGCCGATCGGTCGGCGTCACTGCTACTGAGAGCCGATCGGTCGGTGTTACAGCTACTGAGGGCCGATCGGTCGGCGTTACTGCTACTGACCGCCGATCGGTCGGCGTTACAGCTACTGAGGGCCGATCGGTCGGCGTTACAGCTACTGAGGGCCGATCGGTCGGCGTTACAGCTACTGAGAGCCGATCGGTCGGTGTTACTGCTACTGACCGCCGATCGGTCGGCGTTACAGCTACTGAGGGCCGATCGGTCGGCGTTACAGCTACTGAGGGCCGATCGGTCAGCGTTACTGCTACTGAGGGCTGATTGGTTAACGTTACTGCTACTGAGAGCTAAATGGTTCTTCAGATTAATGGAAAATGTGTTATATATGGTTCTATATAGATCCTTTTTAAAAATGGTTCTACATAGTGCCAAAAGGGTTCTGCTGTAGTTACAATGTCAAACGTATACCAATAGCAGAACCCTTGTTGGTGCTATATAGAACCATATTCAGCACATTTCAGTCAATCTGAAGAGCCACTTCACCATGCAGAGAACCATTTAGGCATACAAAAGGGTTCCTGGAGTGTTCATGGTTTTCTATAGAGTGCTCACAGTTCTACATAGAACAACAATACAATTGTTGGTGCTCTATACAACACATTCTCTATCAATCCACAGAGCCATTTCACCAGAATCATTTAAGCATGCAAATGGTTCTTTGAGTGTTATGGTTCTATATAGAACAACAACAGA